GAGTGTGGGCGAAGGCCGATGAGCGGAGAGCCGTATGAGGGAATGATGCATCTCGATTGGTCGGTCTGTTGGTTGGTTGCGGTACCCCACTTTGAGCCTTTGATTCAAAAATTTGACCCACATGCCAGTGGGAGGATGTTGGATTTTGTTCGAGGAATCTGGCCCTAGCCTCTAACTCAAAAGTCTGCACTGTGAGGCAGCGAGTGTTGGAGATATCTTGGGGGACCCTTTCCGCAGCGAACGACTCGTTTGCCTGACCCACTTGGTTGCAGGAAGTCGGCCTGACCCGAGGACGCAGCCACCTTCAATGTAGCTGCGCTCAGCAGGTGACTTCTGAGCGGCACCAGACTCGTTTGTTTTAGAAGTATTTCGACCGCACTGAATAATGCGTCGGTGGTCACGGTCAACCGTAGGGCGATCGGAGTGTTCGGTGATTGGAGACGATATTCCGCAGTCTATCCTTCCTTGTGGGAAGCCAGCATCGCTGCTTTCATAAATAAGGGAATGCCGGTTGCCTGGGGGGGGGGGCAGCTTACTGCCTACCATCGCAAAAGGCTGTACGAATTCACCTCCAGACCGACCCGCAATACGATTACTTGCAATACGTCGATTCGCTATTCTCTGTCGTGGCCTTTGGCCTTCCTGGTATAGGTAAACCCATGGGAACTGCATTCCAGTCACTCTAGCCCCCAGGATCATTTCCGCAAAGAAGATCACAAAGAGGTAACAGCTTTAGATCGCGTTTCCACTATGTTGATTAAATCAAGCAAGATCACCTTGCTTGTTTTGAAGCGCTTTGGATTTAAAGAACAGCAAATCAGTTTGGTTTTCACAAGAGACTCAACTGAATCTCTCGTTTATGATATTCTACAGCTGAATTTGCTGCAGACAGGCCGCCTCATGATTCAGTTGGCGCGATATTCGAGATATCGCAGTATATGTTCTTGAAGGACAGTACTCACAAGGATTTTCAGCAACCTTGTGAGTAGTTTCCTTCATGAACAGTATATTATATTTAGTATGCTTACGCTAAAAATGCCCAGTAGCTTCAGTCAATTGAGACGGGGTTTAAGATTCACACCACAGCGACTGGTGGCCGAGGCGGTGGAAATCGCCAAGCGTCCCAGTGTGATTAGAATAGGGGGGGTAGAACTTGCAAAGATGTGGAGAGCGATCATAGATCAGCCATAAGTGGGTTGATTGGGTTTTAAGGCAGTCAGTTATCAGCGAAATCGCCTGGGTCTAAAAGTACAAAATCCAAGTAGAGTTAGATCCAATTAACCACCCACCCACATCCCCAAACCAATTGTCCCAGCACTCTTGGAAGAACACAGGTGAACGAAATCTGTGAACGACCCCAAGAGGAATTTTCCATTAAGGTGTCCTAGACTGAAGAAGCAGGGACGAAAATATCCGGGTTCATCATAAAGACGAACCGCCCCCCCCTAACCAGTCTATCGTAAAGCTTAGTCATCCCCACTAATCAACAAGCAGGAACACCAGACTGAACACCCAGCACTGATCACGTCACTAGTCATAAGGAATCTCACGGATTGGTCCCCTGACTGCCTTAAAACCCAATCAACCTACTTACTTACTCACTTGGCCTGACGAAGCTTTTGTGTCAAAAGCGAAACGTTGCCCAGAGATAAATCCACCGATTGTTTACCAAACCCCTCTGAAGCCCAGTAAATTACTCAAATTTGATATATTTTCTGGTCGGTTAGATTTTGAAACCAGAAGTATCCTCTTGGTAACGTGCCAACTTGAGTCCAAATACCAAACTTCACTTTTGAGGAATTCCCCGATCCATCCGGAACAACGCAATTCCAACTGTCCGTGGAACGCCACCACCAACGGGAGCTAGATTCCCAGAGCAAATATTGATCAGATGAGTTAACAGATTCCTTCGATGAATATTATTCATACCTTCCTCGTGTACGCAGAATAAGACTGTTCAGTCAGCTGAATGCATTCTTTTAATCAAGGGTGAAAATTTGCCCACTGGTATTTTCCGACTCACTTACAATTCGTATCTGACGATTGGGCCTTTGACTCCAGAGGACGATTCTGATAAACTCGTCTAAACCAAATTCCGCTGGTCGCTCACTTACCATGCTATTTTACCTCGCTTTATGCGGGCTTGGAAGTCGAACAGACAGGCGACGTCGGATGAGCTCACGGTCGGAATTCACATGTGGGTCTCGAAAAAGAGCAACAGTCATTCAATGATTCTCGTCGTTGTTCACTGACGGGGACGTGATCAGCTTGGGTTCTTAGGTGGTGCGCCGTCGATGGGAACCACGTGACCGGACGACCTCGTTAATTGTGGACGTTCGCACAGCAGAGAGGGGATACGTTTCCTTCTGGAGTCTCTTCCACTGGCTCCAGCGTCAGATGCAAATTCATGCCACAGTGCAGGAAGATTTGGTCGTCCAACTGTGCTATTAGACTCGCTTAACCACGGGATCTCTGGGTTGATATTGGGACTGCTTCAATCCCCATATCTATCCCGGCCGGTCACTACCGTCATTGATTCCTCCCAATAGAACATCCACAGGGCTGCCTTTGTTTACGATATAACTATGTGTTTTGTCAATTAGCTGTTGTCTGTGGATTAGATGTACGTCATTTTGGTCGAAGTTGACGCAGTCCAAAAACACAGGGATTCGTTCTCCAACTGACCTCCGCAGTTCGAACTGAAATCCAAGTATGTGGTGTCGCAAAACCTCAGGATAGCCGCCCTCGGGTCGATCAATCACGACACCAGCTGGAAGTTGCTTGATTTCCCCCTGTTTCTGTTCGCTTTCTAGGTCTACCGAAATAACTAATTTTCAAGAAAGCCTCGGCGGTCGATTTGCAAATCCCGATAAAAATTTTCGGTATCTATACGTGACTAGCTGGACAGATATAATCATGGGTGGACATAGGACTGGATTAGAAGATGGACACAATTTTTGAAAAGATGTATAGACGCGTGCGTCGCTAGATAGATAGATAGATAGATAGATAGATAGATAGATAGATAGATAGATAGATAGATAGATAGATAGATAGATAGATAGATAGATAGATAGATAGATAGATAGATAGATAGATAGATAGATAGATAGATAGATAGATAGATAGATAGATAGATAGATAGATAGATAGATAGATAGATAGATAGATAGATAGATAGATAGATAGATAGATAGATAGATAGATAGATAGATAGATAGATAGATAGATAGATAGATAGATAGATAGATAGATAGATAGATAGATAGATAGATAGATAGATAGATAGATAGATAGATAGATAGATAGATAGATAGATAGATAGATAGATAGATAGATAGATAGATAGATAGATAGATAGATAGATAGATAGATAGATAGATAGATAGATAGATAGATAGATAGATAGATAGATAGATAGATAGATAGATAGATAGATAGATAGATAGATAGATAGATAGATAGATAGATAGATAGATAGATAGATAGATAGATAGATAGATAGATAGATAGATAGATAGATAGATAGATAGATAGATAGATAGATAGATAGATAGATAGATAGATAGATAGATAGATAGATAGATAGATAGATAGATAGATAGATAGATAGATAGATAGATAGATAGATAGATAGATAGATAGATAGATAGATAGATAGATAGATAGATAGATAGATAGATAGATAGATAGATAGATAGATAGATAGATAGATAGATAGATAGATAGATAGATAGATAGATAGATAGATAGATAGATAGATAGATAGATAGATAGATAGATAGATAGATAGATAGATAGATAGATAGATAGATAGATAGATAGATAGATAGATAGATAGATAGATAGATAGATAGATAGATAGATAGATAGATAGATAGATAGATAGATAGATAGATAGATAGATAGATAGATAGATAGATAGATAGATAGATAGATAGATAGATAGATAGATAGATAGATAGATAGATAGATAGATAGATAGATAGATAGATAGATAGATAGATAGATAGATAGATAGATAGATAGATAGATAGATAGATAGATAGATAGATAGATAGATAGATAGATAGATAGATAGATAGATAGATAGATAGATAGATAGATAGATAGATAGATAGATAGATAGATAGATAGATAGATAGATAGATAGATAGATAGATAGATAGATAGATAGATAGATAGATAGATAGATAGATAGATAGATAGGCAAAACGGTTCTTTGCAAATGTCATATCTCTGAGGGTTGTGTTAATCGCTTTGGCGGACATTTCCATTCCATCCTATTCCGCACGTGCTACCTAAGATCGAAGCCTTTGCCTGGTTTATGACATCCATGACAACCGTCGTTTGTTTGGTGTGATTCAAATGCTAGCCCCGAAGAATAGTTCAAATCACACCTGATCAGCCGCACCACTACGGACGATCTAACCATGCGTGCAGAATAGTGGTTAAATGAACGAATACCCACGCTGCCCCTGAATGGAGACAAAATTCTTAAGGATTTTCAGTATACCTTACCATGATTGTGTGGGACGACTCAGAAAGCAGTTGGCCTTTAAACGGCAATCGATATAAATAATCACCGTAGAGACTGTAATCGGGTTTCGTTACGTCTTTTAGGACGCATCTATCGAGCTGGTAATCGGGAGTCTCGACGGTTTCAGGTTGACATCTGGAGTACTCAGTGAACAAGCACACGACTCTCGTTTGAACAATGGTCCCCCTATACTGGAGAGACCATTTAGGACAGTCTACGCTAACGGGAGAAGCAGTCGGCTCGATTGTCGATCCTAGTAGAGCTCACCAAAAGTGCCACACCGGGGTTTGAACTCCGCGCTTCTGACATGCCAGACACACGTGCTATCACTACCCTACCAGTGGGCGGTGGATGAATTTTGAAAGTTTTTGAGCGTCCGCACTGCACTCAGTATTCGCACAATTGCATTGAATTTTCGAATGCTACGGACTGTTGGACATAAAGATACAGGCAATTGAGTTCAGAGTAAAAGTCCAATATTTTGAGCCCAATCTAGGCATCCCGCGGTATCAGCGATGCTTGGAAAGTATTCCACCATACTCTTTCCGCCAGAGGAATGATTGCTTCAGTGGACAATGAAATTCAGTGAGCTGCAAAAATGTGAGCGTTGATTAGGATGAATTTTGGTATCAGCGAATGTGCAAGAGAATGCAATATTTTGGCGTAAAATGTTTTATTCCAATCGCAAAGGTTTTGCGGCTAAGAGCATTGTGCTGCTAATGGGCTTCTGTTCGCGCACGAGTGATCCGGGTGAAACCGCGACGCCTCGAACGATGACTCACTAACTTACATTGATTGTGTCGATCGATAAGCTCGCCAGTCAAATGTATCGAAACAAACGTTTCGATTTTGCGTGTCTCATATCGCAACGGGGGTTATATCTCGACGCGGAAAAGTCGGACATTCAAACGGAAAGTGGAATATGACTAATGTTGAACAACTGCTAATATCAAAGCGTACACAGTTAATACATATTGGATTCGATCCCCGTGAGTAATATTTAAAACACACTAGACTGTGCGTGATGAGTTTATTGTATTACTGGTGTCCTTTGTTGTTGTCTTCCAGTCCCGTTCAGACAATTGATGACCTTCCTTGGCGTGGAGCAAGGCCAACTCTACACGCTTGGTCATCAAATATCAGTTGGAATGAATGTAGGAAAGACATCCCCAGTAAAATACCCACAGGCGTACTGGCAGAACCATTTTGAAAACGCGTAGCACACATTGCGTCCCCGTTCACGGTAGTCTGTGGAAATAGGGCGGTTCATTAATTTGTACGAAAGACAAAATAATAGGAAAGCAAGGGAATCGAAGGAAACGCACCACTAGAATTGAAATGGCGCAAAATTTTGCACAACCTGTCTATTTACATGTTGAACAGTCTACAGACTTGTCTACCTGCTCCTCACCACACTGGTGAGTCACGCACATTCACAAACCACACTTTCAACAGAAATATCGATTGCTGACGCCATGCCGTTCGCCGCATTACCATTGTGCAATAGAGATAAATTAATTGGTACTGAGCACCACTCAACTTGTGCCACTCTGTTCTGGCGCCAAACCAGCCATTGCATACCTGTAGTTTTTCCTTCTATCGGGTGTCTTTCACTCATGTGAACGTTCACCTTTGCGTTACGTGGCATTATAAAAATCCGTTGATTAGATCCATCAACACAGATATCAAATTACGCCTAGTCTCAATGCTCAATCGTTAATCAACCAACCGACTATCACCATGAGTGTATCCTACCTGTTTCGTGTATTGTGTCCGCGTAATATGAAACTTATTTCCTTGAATGTGGAAAGCAATCGGGCGCATGGATGGCAGCCTCGCACACTCGAATACATATACCCCGTCCACCAGCCTTGAAATGCCGAGTTTTCGGTTGATCGCCATGTGGATGTCCTCTGGCAGTACTATTGTGTGAGTCCCGGTATCGAAGACCGCTCTGTGATCTTCAGTGCTAATTTCCGTGTTAGAAATGGATATCCTATAGAAGGGAACCACACAGATGACGTGAATGTTAGTAGGGTCACTCAGTCAATTAAAATAACTTGGCCACAAAGGTTACTAGCATACCGGTCAATCCTCATTTCCCAATAAGGCCCATCAACGACGTTTACATAGGCCATACCACCAGTGGGTAGGACTTGTTCCAGATTGTCACCCATGATAAATGTGGCACTGTCGCTGCACAGGGTAAAAGTGAAATGCAATCGCGAACAGATTAAAACTGTGCATGACAATGTTTGATTGAACAGTATACCGACGAACAATCAGCTAATTTTTATCTGTTATTAACTGCAATGAAAAAAAACGTGTGATACACTGCTCACTCTTGGAATTCGAAGCCAAATTGCCCACTCATCAATCCTTGTTCACGAACGAATACGGACAGCGGGCTTGTGCTCAACGAGAACACCGGGAGGCGCCCTAACCCGATATAGCCGTCAACGGGTTCCTCGTAGATGCCCCTTGTTGCTTCCATCACCAGACCAAATGGTACATTTCTGATAAGCATGCCTCCGAGCTACCACGGTTGGAAATAAAGGCAAACACGCACACAGTTGGTACACTTACCTTTATGTCGACCGTTGCCTTTAACCCACTAATCTCACCTGCTCCATACATAGCATAGAATAAATCTCCGCTCACACTCAGAGAAGTTGATTGCGCCACATTCAGAAGGGTCCTTCCAACCCACCGAGTTCTATCAACGCAGTCGGCAGGAACCCAAATTGGCAATGAACCAGTATCGAGCAACATTCGAAACTCAGTTTGCTCAATAGTCATGATGCAAAAATATTGTGCCTTTCAATTTGACCGGAGCAACACAAGTTCGCACTTACCCCACCCCAGCGATACAATGGAATTCTGATCACAGCTCGCTTATCGCGTTCGAGTTTATCCGATTCTTCCGAGATTCTACAAACTGTGTTTGGATTATTGGACACTACTCACCGATACGATGTACTCCCAGTCAGGAAACAACCGGTGAGTGTGAGAAGAACCAACCACATGGATAGATTTTGTCGAATTCCGGATCCGCTAACTTTTTCTAAATATATGTCACCGAGTTGATTGCGTTCATTCATGATACTCACCCGATTATCCAATCGGTTGTAAGGTTAATGCTGCCTGAATTTGTTTTCACGTTAATTTCAAAGTGACCTCCACTGACAAGTAGACCAGATTTTGGAGAATCTGGACAGTGGGGTTGATAAATCTGGTCGAATTTGGATGTAATTCAATTAGTTTGGTAAAGCAAGTCAACTCGGATGACCTTGCTCGCGGGCGATTTTCGAGATTCCACCCAGTCAATGGCACTCAATATACATTCTCAATACATTTATATACGACCATTTTATGAAGTAGAGAGTAGATGGTATTCACAAATCGCTTTGTTGGAAATCGGGCTCTGCTGAATCTACCAGGATTACATCAGCTGCCTGATGAGCCTCAGGATGCCAAAACAGGTCGCCTTCACCTCTGTGGGTGTGGGCTACCTGGTGAAAAGGAAGAAGGCCTTCACTGCAGAGTTACTTGTTAGAAAATAACAACTGACCGGTTACAGTCTATTGGACAGGGAAGCAAATCTCTCATTTGCATCTTATTCACAAGAACTGGACATCCATCCTCTGAACGCGTCTTCTTGAACTTTCCTGGATATTCATTGACTCCAATCATTCATTGCTCAAATCCAAGTAAATGCTACAAAGCGACTCCACAAATTCCGCAACAGATCTTCCCTTTTCAGGGGACGCAAAGCGAATTTCCAAGAACAACACATACTACTCGCGTGCCTTCCCATCAGTGGTATCACCGTTACACTGGTAAAGTCTCAGCCCACTTACAACCACGAATGGCACACTTACATTGCAGAGTTGAATCACGGCTAATGTCACCTCGAAACGTTTTCAATCCACCTGCCAAACTTGGCGAACATATCAACAACCAAGCAGAGCACCCGAGTTACCTACATTCCAAAACATTGCCACTCGTACTGTTGACTTGCTTGAGGGCGCTGCGTATCGAAAACAAGAATTCAAGATGCAAGGACACTGTGTGAGAAAACTGTTCCACCACTCTCCACTCACTTCTGGCTGCGCACCACTGGCGATCCAGAGGCTGCTGCTGCAACAGGTGCAGGGGTTTGTATCGTCCTAGATCACCGGGTGGAAGGAACCTTGGTCAAATGGATACTCGCTGATTGTCACCTTTGTGTGGTTCAGTCCGTGAGGCATTCCAACGAGAGGGAAGTTGCTCGCTGTCATGCCCTCTTGAGAGCCCGACAATTATAACTCTGACGTTAACATGGACGCCTCGTTGCGGCGAGCTAAGGTGTTGCTGGTGGTCTGAGTGCAAAACTATACAGACTTAACCCGTTTGAAATTCAAATATACACACAGCATTTGGTACACAAAACCCAGAATATCGGGGAAATTGTGCGATTTTGATCAGCCTTCTAAAATTCCGATTAATAAACCCTCATTCGGAAGACGACCGAAGTTAATTTCTCTTGTTGGCAGTCTGGGGCTGCTCCCTACTGGTCTTTAGTTTCGTCTGATGGAATTATTCGGTTTTGTGTGTAGAACCACATGTGAATCACATCAGCGCACACGTGATACATATCTTCGCCTTCCAAGTTTAACATTGAAGGTTCAGGCTTCGCGGACCTTGGATTACGACAGTTTTGTTGAAGTCATACCCACATTGCTAGTCTGATTGTGTCCAGCCAATCAGAGACTCGGTTTGCGCACGACACAAAGCCTTGAAGCTAGCCTTTGTTATCCATGCAACGAGTTGGTTATAACCTTTAGCGCGTACCACAGACCATTCCGGTTTTTGGCGAGTGTGAACTTCCCAAAGTCCGTGCAGTGTCGATGGTGTGAATCTAATCCATGGAATTAGAGCGGTTGGGGGCAAAATACCCCATGAATCCGTCATTAGTAGACAGGGCCGGAAAACATCCGAACTGATAATACTACTTCAAGTTTCACCTAGCATGTCATGGAGCGGTCTACAAGTGCACCAAAATTTCCTTCCGTGTAATACACAGAACTGCCGCTTGGTTATGCGGGTCCATGTGGTGTCTACTTGAACGGGTGCAGATGGCAGATTTACCACTGCTCATTCGCCCTGGTCGTCTGACATACATAAACTGTGCACTTTCGTCTAAACGCTGAATACGGACGAGGGATATTTCGGTCCCTTCGTTGCTCGTCGTATGCAAATGGGTGTATCTTCGAATCGCGTGCAATGATTAGCCGGGACCCAACAACGTATTGCGATATCTCGAACGTCGGAGAAAGTTAGAAGGCAGCTTGGTGCAGCACATTTAATTGAAGCTGGTCATCTTGAACGAGAGATTCAGCTGCACCCCGTTGAACCAGAGTGGTGTGCGAATAAGAGCACTTGTGGAGATGTGTCTGTGAAATTTGAGTTCAGGTAGAATACGAGGTTAACGAGATCCCGGGCACTGCACCTCTCATGAGCCCCAAGAGGCTTGAGAGAGCTGTCGAAGAGTTTTCAACAAATCTTCACTGGTGTGTTACGCGTTCCATTCCTTCTCCTATGTTCTGACTAATAATGGATGTGTCTCACAGTCTCTTAGAAAGAAATTCAAATGTCTAGAATTTCGGTTTGAATGAAAAAAAAACGGGAAAAATAACCACATTACTAGAGAATCGAAAAGACACGACTGCCGTGGTCGAGGTTGTGGTGTGCAGTTGGGCGAGTTCGTCACACTGGTTGGGAAATCCCGCATGAACTCAGTTGCGCAAGAGACGGTTTCTGCAACTGTCTCGCTTGATGTCACATTAGATTCACCCACCAGCCACTTACATGACAGTGACCATCTTAACTCGTTTCTCCTTCAGACTCGCGGACTCCTGAAGTGCTTGACAGCTTGCCCAAGAGCCGTGCCGATAGAAATCCACATTCATCAATCCTGTTGGATGTGTAATACCTCGTGTCCGACTTGACAGCAATTCATCCTTCGAGATGGAGTAGAATGTCCATTATGAGTTCCTCTTCGTTACCTTAGTTCTCTGATGTTACCTCTTGGTGCTACGCCTTGTAGACTAGGCCGAACGCGATGCCCCCAAAGTAGGCATTGAAATACACTGCCCGAAAGGACCTTGCTTATTGGGGCGTCTATTGTATATCAAATGTGGTACATACGCAATTCCAAACATCCGAAACTAACCGAAGGCGTTCCCAATAGATGCGTTCGTATGTGTTCCTCTGCAGTGTGAATTTCGACAGACTCGGATTGCGCGTTTGCGCCACTTCAGAGTTGCTGTATGCTTAGGCCTGGACATCGACTTAGTCAGGCGTCGGCTTGACTGCCTTACTATTATACTCGCGGTGTACTGTATATTGCGCCGACTGTCTAAAGAGCAGATTAGATGACGCGTATTCCGTGATCCTGTTTACTTACAATTCACCCAACGGTCACCATCACTATCGAGCGCAAGGCTTCCTTCGTCGACCCCTTGGATGCTATTCGGCTAGTGTGATCGCTCATTTGTGGCCCCATCGACTACTCTGTCCCGTCCGTTTCAGACTTCTTCAGGATGTCTCATCTCTTCCAAAATGGGTTTCTTGTGATGAATGCTATTCAACAATCAGTGTTATCGTCATTCTTTCAGTTGACTTTGAGAATCATTGTCGAAATAAACTTTCCAACGACTTTTCTGAATCTCTACATGCAGTCAGGGGGAATATCGATCGGAAAGGGGCTATATTGATTATTTCACTAGGATGAGTCATCCTGATTTGGATTGTCACGTCAGATGTGAACCTGTGTTAGGCATGGTTGCATGGGTCATACTGATCTGCAGGCCTACACAAATGACTGTAGTTCTTTTTTGTTGACTGAATACTTGTGAATACTTGCAAATATTTTCTCCTTTCCAAGTCTGATGGGGGCCATCAAATTCACTATCTTTCGTTGGAGAAAGCTAATGTAGTTTTCACCTGTAGAACACGTTTCGTAAAAGATCGTAGTCAATTTGTGCAGTGAGATACAACGCTTAAAGTTTTCTCCAGACTTGCATAAATCCAGCTTCATTCTACTAGGAGGATAAAACACGTTTTATTTGCGAGCAAAAAGGGTAATCTGTGTATCTTTATCACGAAATACGTGTTTCCTGTAGGTTTGGTGCGACACACACTGAGTAGATGCAATATTCGCTAGGTAAAAGTTTCTACTGAAGCTTGTAGGTGTGCATACTTGTGTGGGTTTGCTATAAACAGATTTTTATCAAACTCCTATTGATAGAAGTGAATTTCTGATCATGGTATTGACCCACATGTGCGCTTCAGTCTTGGCAACCTTTCTGAGGTGTGTGATTTTGCAAGAACTCACACACTTGCGAACTCAAATGGGATAAAATGATGACCTTTACTGCCTTATCTCAACTGGATGTTTCAGTTGGAATGGTAATCAAGACGTCAGATTATTTTCTTTCATATGGCACTGACGATATCATCAAGATGAATTTTGTGCAACACATCCAAGCAAGCAGCAATAATTCATCAACGATGTCAGCTGTAATAACCGCGTACTTATCGTACAGTGGTCGTAGCTGCCACAGTTTAGTTCACCGGTGATTCGGGGAGGTGACTCAGGTTCATAAAAGCCGCCCAGACATTCTCGATCCGGATGAAAATATCATCTTTCGCGAGCCCACCGGGAAGGATAAGGCTGCCCAGGTAAACAAATTTGTCTACTACCTCAATCGGTTCACCCGCAAGCATGAGGCTAGGGTTCGAGCCCACCCAGTCTTGCAGTATCACTTTACACCTTGCAGGTGTGAAGCGCATGCCAAACCGTGAGGCAGAATTATTTAGATTATTTAATATTGTTTGCATTACCACGGGATCAGATCCCAGAGGAGCTATGTCGTCTGCGTACTCGATATCCAAGAGCGGATGCCCTGGGGGCACTTCGACCCCACAGACATTAGAGGCTGGTATTGAATCTTCCGTGGTCGTAGCAATGACGAAGTTGAGGAGGAAAGATGAAAGAGGCTAGCTCTGTCGGACACCACTTGATGTGGTGAACTCAGGCGAGAGCTTCCCGTTGACCATCAGACGGCCGCGGCGCCTTAATGAGGGTCAAGGATTTATGGGGGACACCTCCGCTCAACAGATAATTCAATAGTGCCTGATGGTCCATGGATTCAAAGGCAGCTTTCAGATCAAAAAACTCAACCATTGTTGACTGCTGGAAGCAGTGTCGCTGGTGTCGGAGGGTGAAGATATGATCGATGCATCCTCTTGCAGGACGGAACCCAGCAGCAATACCGATCGAGGTTTCAGCGAAGACTCTCTGCAACACCATCCCTATTTACGAAGAAGTGTTCATCCACATATGCATTCAGTTTGGTTTTCCAGCATCAGTTAACGCTAAGATGAGCTCAGAACGTGTGAAAAACACTAGTCCACTGCCTATGTGTAGTGTCACCTGTTACCAACTGACTTTAATTCATCCAATGCCCTAACTTTGAACGGTTCAACGGCGAAAACATGGAAACAGATTCTCGTTTGTTGTGGAGGTCCCCTTTATGATCCCGTTCAGTCAGGAAGGTTCACATAGCTCCAACAATCTTTTGTTTTTATTTGTAGATAGCCTGAGGATTCCACCGCAAAAATTTGCTGTCTTGCAGTATGCAGTCAGCGATGAATGCGGTGGTTCTGACAATGAAGACGCTTCTCAGTCGTCTCGTTGAGTCTCCCGTCAAAACCAAACCAGGATGCAGATGAGGGTAGTTCGCAAATATCGCGCAATTAGGGTAGAGGTAGATGGAAACTCAAGTGATGTGCCACCTGGTGAACCCCAAGAATAGCGAAACCAGTCGCAAACTGTGCAAGTGTTGTCAGCAACCTTGTGAAACGGCGTTTCGTCAAAGAATCTCACACGGACCACCCTTGATAGGACACCCATTGTTAGGTTGGTAAAAATCGCCTGCTGCGGATTTTGAAATTTTGAGACTCACTGATTTGGTGAAATCTTCCTACTTCCGTCGCTCTAACAAAAATTTCAGATGGACAGTAGTCCGATTCTACCTTTTGGTGACTTTGAGAGACATTCCGAAGTCCAGTCGGCTTGCTGTCTTTATCAGGTGTGCGAAACCGAACAGTTGTCTGTCCAGTAAACAAGGGGTAAGCTCAGAAAAATGACTTCAAAGTATACATCTCATAGGAGCCAATGAACAGATAAACCGACAGAATCCTCCCACCGGAACCTCACCATAGATTGACTGATCAGCACGACTGAAAGTTGAGCGGCAAATTGTCTAGGTTCAAACACCATGGTAAAACAGTCTATTGATAGGTCCTTTTCTCCGTTCACTGAGATACAATGACTTTCACTCAGCAGTAGCTTTCGCGTACCTGGTTCACTGTTTTACTGCAAAAGACAGTCTGTGTTGCCGCTGTGTGAAATTCCTAGCCACTGGACGTGATATCTTGGGCGCGAATATCATTTCCTTTATCGTAATTTTTATGACAAAACTGGAGAAATTAGTCCATCATTTAATCAGATTTGGTTTCTGGTGCATACTCTGTTGTATGTATGTATCCTGTCACCAAAACACGAGGGAATATTCCAAAACGCAAAACTCTTTTCCATTCAGTCTAACACTTACAGTATACCTCTGGATAAGAGCAATATACTATTCATAAGCTTGCTGAAAAATCTTTGACAGCCCACTAACGGCTCCGTCCTTCTTGGGGCTCATTAGGTAGGCGCATGCCCCGAGTTTTCGTCAGTCTTATGTTTTATCTTCCCAAAGTATGAAGCTGATCCAACCAGATATGTTCAGCTCCGGGGGTGAGTGTCATATATCCCACGAGCTTGAGCAATTCTTGTGCTCCTATCATTAAGGTGTGTTCAGATGCCGCACAGCTCTACCACACGAACACTTCCGTCTTTGTTGGCGAGCATCGGAACGAAGGTCTGAGCGACCACGCCAAAACCCTCTACAACGATGTACGTTTCCCTGGTATTTTGGAATATCACCTGGTGTCCACTCTAGTTATAAGGCAGCATGCCGCAAGTGTGCATCCGAAACGTTTAATCCGTCTTCTCTTCATCTGGGGCTCCTTCAAGTGTAGTTCACTTTCGGTTGGTTGCTAGAATGTGAAGCGATACAGTGATACAACTCCGTGAAATCCAAGTATCCCTCGGGAACTCAATCGTGAACGGGTCCACAGTCACACATTAGCAATAGAATAACGTTCCCGGTTGTCATTCATCAGTTCTTTCGGAGCAGACCACGATAAGTGCCAAAAGCCCCGTATGAACCGCATGTGCCAAAACCGTAGAATGTAATGTTAGAGTAGAGGGTCTACGCTATTTTTAGCCATGAGGATCACATTCCATTTTGAAGTAAAAAAAACTCACCACGTTCTATTCACACTAGTATGCCTCATTGGAATAAAACTGTGTCTGTTACATCAAAGTTGGATTCCATTGAAACCGTGATTGGCATTCAGTCAACCGGATTTGCTTTGCACGCGATCGATTACCCATGGTTTTCGAAAAAGTGTGATCCTACTGCAACATAAAACTGGTGCGAATTCAGCTGATGCCTTTGATGCAAATTTCCACAGTGCTCATGTTCCTCTTATACTGATTCATTTCAATGAGCCAACGTAACTGACGCAACAGCTCTCTTGTGGTACACAACACCCACCTCAAACAAATATGCCAAAATATATTGCAACGACTGGATGTGAGGCACTACGTGACTCATAAAACGATGAGACACAAGGAACAGCAGGTATTTCATTACTTTATTGAAGCAGTGCTAAGTTTAGACAATAATGTATATAGTAGTTTCTCTGTACATCTAGTTTTTCATGTAATGCTATAATATTGTGGGAGAGCCGTAGCTCCATAGAACGGTCCTCCAAAAAAGGGAACCAGATGTCACGTGTTGAGGGCAGATCGGCACACCCAGCCTACTCGGTCTGGCAGTAAAGAGTGAAGCACTTGAAAATTAAACCAGTGACGTTCCTGGTGTATTGCGATCCCTGGTTCACTGATGTTTTCCCACGTGGATTCGATGCACATCCCCGTCGCCACTATTGCAACCAATCAAGTGCAAACTGCAGTCAGGTGTCCTGTGGCTGCTTAGACCAACTACTATCTCAGAGAGAACGCAGACGGCGGCGTGCATCGCAAGTGTATTTAGTGGGTTATGAGATGCATGACAAAGTCCCGGGTTAAAAACAGATGACCGCATTTCAAACGGACCAATCAGACGAATGTAGTCTGTCCGCTCACAATGTGTGAAGCAGCCATACAGTGGGAATGTGCAGTTTTAACTTAGTCAATTTTTGAAGGGACAGATGTAATGCCCACATGTTTTTGTCTATCGGCGACCGTTTTCATGTGGAGGAAAACTAATTCAATTGAACTTGTGGTGATTATCCTTTTGTTTTCGAAGACAACACCTCAGGCAGAATGGTTGCTTAACTATTCAACATCAGAAACGTAGAGGATCGAGTGGTTGTGTACAGGAATTCATTTTGGGGGAAATTTGTCGGTCATAGCTATCCTCCGAAAAGTCTTATAGCGGTTTGGTCCTTTACGGGCTCATTGTCCTGGTCCCCGAAGCTCCATCAGGTTTATTACGTATCTGAACATCAGACGCCACCAGCCTGACTGGAAATCGGAAATTATGTTGCTGTTTTTGTCGTTATGAATGTGGATCGGCGTCCTATGCTACCAACAACTGCAGAAGTGCAGCAAGTCAAACTCGCTTCGAGATTGTGGGCGTTGAGGTGTGGTGATATACCGTGAAGCTTCTGCCACATGAGCGTTTTTGTATCTATTCGATTTCACCAGAAAAGAGAATACAGAGGAATCAGATCCAAGCCGATTGCAGCTGTGTGCGTTTCTGTGGTATTTTGGGGACACTGAGGGACGACGTGCCGGTATATCAGTGGTAAGAGGATGTATCTTAAAACCCTCCTGTCACGTGGGGCGTATTCTGGTCATCCGTTTTCATAATAACAGGCAATCTACCTATGCTCAAGCCAAAAGTATATAAACAATGGGGATGCTAACGTAATACACTACTCATAAGGGTGCTGAAAACTCTTCCACAGCCCATGACTGGTTTCGCCCTTCTTAGTGCTCATCAAATAGGCGCAGTCCCCGAATTTCCGTCAACCCAATGTTCCGCTTTAAACAAAATTGTGCGAAATTGGCGAAATGCACTCATTTGTAAATCAATTCGGTTTCTCGGGAGACTCACCTGCAACCCAGCTGAATCTCTCGTTTGCGAAATCAAAGCCGAAATACACTTTTAATCATATGAGATAAAAAGATTTTATCTTCAAGTCATTTTATGCCCCCAAGCTTTTTTCAGTTCCTCGAGCCACTAATTCTTGCTTAACTGCTCAAAAGCAATGGAGATCGAGCTGATCTTGGACGGACACCCCAGTCGGAAGGGCATTACAAGTACTTTTCCCTGAAGTATACTTTATCTTGACGTGATATCTGCGTTCTGACAGGGTCAATCTTTGTACTGCGATTCTACTTGAGTATCAGTTTCTTATTCGGAACTCCCAGTCCGCAACTCATAACAAGAATTCACCCGGGCCAAACAAAGACAGTCATTTCAACGGACTGTTCTCTGCAGTCAAGACGCGGATTTTTGCCACTTTGCGAACAGTTTGTGAATTACTTCGGATTTGCGTAAAATCAATAAAAACTAGTCAATACCCGAACAGGGAAGAGTAGGGACCAGACTTTCCGGCGGAAATTAGAACGAATAAAAAATCGAACAGCTTCATTCAAAATGTTCAGTTGAACACTGCTAGCTGACTTGTGGAAGCCCAGAACGTTTTTCTGGTAACCCTAGACCACATCTACGGTTATGTACATCCCCGGAAATAGAGGTCACCACGCAGTACAGACCACCTAACTCTGTTACGCCTTCTTTGGTGTCTTTTTAAAACGTGCTACTTAGTTATCTCAAAAGTTCATCGGTATTCGGCGTATCTATGTCTATCTTTGGACCCATCAGAATTGTTGAAACAGACCGAAGGGAAGGGATTCAAACGTAAATCTTACATATAGTGCAATGATTTGAAGACAGTCACGCTGGCGGGCCGGATTCAAGCGTCCTGGCTGAGGAATCTTGAAGAGTTAGTAGACCGTTGGACACATACTGGATGGTCGTTCGAGACGTTGAGAGAACAAACCATTTTGCTCGCAACGTGAGCGCATTCACCTGATAGTTCGGATGCATCCAGGGTTGGCTGGTGTCATTCTCGTCTTGCACACCAGCCTCCGGGGATTGAGTCCATCCATCCTTTCAAAAACCATCATGACGTCCATTCGAGGTGAATGCATCGGATCAACTGTACCAAAAAGAGGAGGAAGACCGTTCAAATGACAGCGAGGTGAATGTGAATTCCGTAAATCCCTGGAAGCACCTATAGTTTTAGACGCAATGCACTACTCATACGGTTGCTGAATCATCATAATTATCATCGACAGTATGACATCAGCGTTCAACACCGGTGCTTCACTGCCGTACAGCAATTATTTATTTGAAAGCCTTATTGTAAAGAAAAGAGTAAAGGTGGACGGGGAAGGGATTTAGTGCTAGCTTAACACAATCATTCCGAGGTGCCTACACCTCCAGACATTCACTCAGGCAATCTGGATAGAAACTGACAACAAGAACGCCACTGACATCGGTTGGCAGCCATATTTTGTAGTGTCTCCAACCAGGCACAGTGAGGATCACGCGGTCCCCATCCTGGAAGGCGAGTATCACCGACAGCACCCAAGCATTTCATGATCTCCTTCATACTCCTCTGCCAAGTCAAGGGTTGGCCACCTCTCTGTTGGCGCCACTCCTAATTAGGAATGGAAAGCAGCACTCTTTGGGAAACGATGGTTCGGCATACGCAACACAAGTCCCAACCAACGCAGCTTCTGGTACTGGGCACATTCCTTAATGGATGTACCCGTTGCACAACCAAATACTCCGAATACTCTTAGACGGCCCACGACTGGTTTCGCCATTCTTGGGACTAATCAGGTAGGCGCAGTCCCCGAGTTTTCGTTAACCTTATGTACTACTTGAATCCTAACCGCACAAAATTAGTCAGATACACTCATTTGCATACCACTTTGGTTCTAGTTGAATCTCTTCCTCAAAAGCAAATGAGTATGTAAGTGAGTGTATCATGCCTATGGTTTTATTTTCGAACGTTTATAATCACTAGAAGAGTAAATATGAAATAATTATTTTGCCGCAACACCCTGATGCAACATTTAGCCGCCATGCCACTAAAACAAAGCAACGCGGCTGAAATACTCCCAGCGTAGACAAGAGCAGTCAGGATGCGTGAACTGGGTTCGAACCATTGACCTTTTGGTCGGTAAGTTCGTGCGCTAACCGCTTAGCTACCTCACACCCACTGGGAAACTGTGCTTTAGTAAAATACCTGCTTGAAATCCAAACCTGTCGCTAGGTCCTCGCTGAAGATGGTTCATTGGAATCATGACAACTAATAGTCTTACGCTATCCCAGTCGTCCAATATATTGTTTAAGCTAACTTAAACACATCAGCTTGAAACTGTTAGTTCACCAATCACGTGACTATTGCGGTCTCTATCCGACTAGAAATCTCCAAAAAGGGCAAAATTGGTTATTTGATACTGAACCGAGCAGCTATTCGTGAAACAACGAACGATCAGTATGAACGAACCGGTAGCTTGCCTGAAGGGTGATGTGCCGATTGGGAGGGCGAGAATGATGCACAACATAGCACCTGTGCGCTTAAACTTCACCTCTCGAGCACCTGCCTGATTTCTGAGTAGCCTAAGATTGCCACTGTTACTACGGAAACTCTAGCGCACTAACAGAATGTGGGTTGTCTTGCCTCGTTAAAAGACACCTGATCTAATAATGTGGTTGTTACCGGTTGGCTTGTCTACAAGACCACAACAATCATCAGCAGTCTACCCGTATTCCAGTCGATAAATTTTGGATGGTTACAAACTATTCAAAGAACATCGAAGTGTCAGCGCAACAGCTCAGGTCGACAGCATCAAACGGGTGTGATTTATCTGCTACTGAAATGTTCGATAGCTATGCGTTTTATTCGCACTATGTGAACGATGAAGTAAAATGTCGATCAAATAAAAGTTATGGAAGAGAATCCCACCTCTGGAAAGCAGTAAAACACTTTCTTTAAAAAAAACTTTGTTTTCAATCAACGATGGACATGTTCGTTTCGAGCCTTTGATGCCGCTTTCCGTTTCATGGACAAGTTGAGCATTCCAAAACAGCCGGAAAATTTTTATCTTTCTTTCAAAGGACTTGAATCAGACAATCAGACAGCCTACTAGGCCAATCAGGGGCCTATTTCCCAGCTCAGAAAACAAACCAACAGTTACCATGGCAATGCGTTTAGAATCCTTTCTCTGCTTTACTTGCTGGTGACTTTTCCGAGCTTTCTTCAGGTACCTATGTGAGTCGCATACTCACAGGGAATGAAGCGCTTTGTCTGTCGTTGATTGTCTGTGGGCCTTGACTTCAGTTCACCCAGAGAGAGAGGTCGACGGGCAGCGACTTCAGTAAGAAGGCGATCAATCCGGACCGACCAAGGTTCATCACTAGATATACGGACAACCAACACATGTTGAATGGTTGACAGCATCTGAAACGAACAGACGTACGCCAGATCGCATTCATGTTAACCCTTAAGCACTGTCCACAACGTTGAATAAGTAGTCTCATTAGAACACAGGAAGATTCTCCGTACCAAGTGAAACATCAGGTGGCCTGGTGCAGCACATTCAATCGTTTAGAAACATTATAAAGCAGAGATTCAGCTAGGTTCCGGGTGAGACTCTCGCAAATGAGTGCAGTTTGCTAACCCTTTGTACTGTTCCACAGAACCAAAGCGAAGACGTTTCACTGAGTCTCGGGTGGAATTGTTCCTCCCGCCACCTCATGGATCTCCGTGTTTGGACTACCGTACTTGAAAACCTCCGGCCTGAGCATGTATTTCTCAAGTGCCTTACCATTCGACAATTACAAATTCACGCGTCGTTTGTCTTATCTGGCTGTTGAAGGTCACAATTCTTTCTTGGGGACTTTATCTGCCGTGACTCAGTCAACACCCTTCGGTCATTTCAGGAGGCTGATGAAGTGTTTGCAACACCCACACGACTCCTCATCCGGTGGCTGCGTCCGTCGTGAGGGTTCGAGTCGACGTATTGCATGGCCTACGAATGACTTTTAAAACTGCGAGAATTCTGTGCTTTTTCGGGGAATGTGTCAACCTGCTCACTAAGGGTTGGACCATTTTTAGTTCCTACTGGACCTAAGCGTTGGACCTGATTCATGTGCTGAGGGAATCTATACAGCCGGGGCACTGCAACATTTATGGGTTTCACTTTGGTAGACATTCAGATATACTGATTAAGGAACCTTCGGCTTTGTTACCAATTCAGAGGATACGATTAGACCGTCAATTCGTATACTTCCAAAAGCCTCGCTATCTTTATACGCCAAGAGCTTCTTAAGCCTTGACTCATAGCTGAGGTATTCATAAAGTCTTATGGTCAATTTGAAGGCTGAAACTAGCTCACTCCGTAAAAAAGCTCTTGTGACAAGGCGATCAATACCCAGGGTCTAATGACAAAACCTCTCCAAGTTTTAACGCGACGTTTCCTTCTGGATTGTCAGGCATCACAGGATCGAGGGTGATGGCACATTCATGGTCATACTTCTTCTGGCAAACATATATGTTGAGGTTTTCACACACGAGGTTTCCAACCTGCTCAGGAACGGAGCTACTTTGCTTTCCGGTAAACAACCGTTGCCTGTACGGCAAGGGATGTCGGATTGATTGAGTTCATTTGTGCACTCAGTAGCAGGAACAACTGAAAAATTCAGTTCCCAGGCGAAAACAGGTTTACGCTCGACTATTCAATTTGTACAACCAAGAAATTGCATGCCCTGAACCCAGGTTTCGTTTCAGTACTTCAGCTAAGCGACTCTGGCTTGTGATTGCTCCACAGAGGACTCTACAAGTTCCAGGATTAGCCATACAACCAAAAAGTAACAGGACAATCGTTCACCCTTTCAGTGCCGAGCTACCATACCACTCGAGGAAGGCATATGATGTAACAGAGATCACCGACCAAAAACCTATCACGGTTAGAAGTAACTGCTACGAATCGGAAGACATCTCCCCTTAGTTGAGCTAAGCCTGATTCTAGCTGAATGGCACTGTTTTGCCGTCTGTTCTAGTGGTGTGTCAACTGTATGTCGATCAAATGTGTCCGTCGTTCAATCGATTGCAACTACTACGATAGAATTACTCATTATAGTGGCTGGCGCAGGCTAAAGACTTTCATATTTAAGTTGCTCCGTTCACTCACCGTGAGAATTTTGCCTGAATCTCACAAAAAAAAGCTATCGGAGGACGAATGACTTGCTGACTAATTTCAGTGAACTTCACTTCAGACTGAACTCTGAAAGTTTAATGGATGATTCAACTGTGAGATTCAAATCGACTTTGTGTGTGTGTGTGTGCTGTGATGACTCAGCTGATTGAGACCGAGGCGGATTGGTGAGCGATCGATTTCTTGGCTGTTCTGCGTGGAACATCTACAGAATGATTCAGGTGAGTTTTGAAGAAAATCCAATAAATCTTTGGTTAAGGGGCTCTGTCAAATTTTGATTTAAAGGCTTAGATATACCTGGCTGCCAGATCGTCAGTCCTGGAAGGTTCTTTTGAAAATCAGGTTAAAAGTGGCTGGCAAAGGACCCTCAGAATAACCGCGGTAAACACGTGCTAGGTCATGCTGAAAAGGGAACTTAAAGTCGTCTGGTACCGCAGAATTTTGGCAAAAAGCAATACCGTTTAAACCTTTCCTGCCATAAAATGCAATTTTTCGAGGATGCTCACTAACTTAAAGTCGTCTGGTACCGCAGAATTTCGGCAAAAAAACAATACCGCTTAAACCTTTCTTGCCATAAAACGCTATTTTTCGAACATGCTCACTTGCACGTAAAATAGTCAATTAGTTCAGAGAGTTTTGCGCTCATATCTATGCAGTTCGCTTTCCACAGATCTATCTTTGAGGAGAATACGCCAAATACTGATGGATGCGCTTGAAGATGTTTCTACTAAAGATATCAAGGTTCGTTCTCAAAACCACACATCAAGACAAAGTCTCTTGTCTCCAGCCTGTTTCATCGGTCAATCCACAGTCATCCAGTATACTGAAATTCTGCCCAGCTTCACGGGGGACACGAGAGAGTGCGACCTTGTCTTGCATGCGATGTATCACAGAGACACGGTTCGCAGACAAGTTTTTCTTAAATCAAAGGTATAAACCAGTATAACATCTGTTTTGCCTGCAGGTGAACTCAAGTGACAAAACTGTCACTCAAGTGAGCCACTGTCAACTATCTGGCATTTGCTGTTTCGCAGACAAGTTTTTCTTAAATCAAAGGTATAAACCAGTATAACATCTGTTTTGCCTGCAGGTGAACTCAAGTGACAAAACTGTCACTCAAGTGAGCCACTGCCAACTAGCTGGCATTTGCTGTCATTGTCTGATACGTTAAAATATCGATCCCTGGCCTTTCTGTAGTGAGTCGAACACGTACAGGTTGTGTTGCTGCGACAACCGTATGTATTAGCTTGAAAGTCCTCAAGTACGTGTGTTTTTTGTAACAGTAAAGAAATGGGACAAACCTTTTGTCTGGTTAGCGCAATGTAATCTAAAATGATGTAACGTAACTGAAACAAACACCACTTGGTAACACGAGTTTATCATA